CTTGAAGATCTCTATGGCTCGTCTGTATTTCCCCTAGTTTTAAGAGGGATCTGAAAGCTACTTGGGCAATAGCTTTCACATCAAATCTCAAGTACAAGTGTTTTAGTCACCTTGTTCTTTCTCAGTTCAGCACGCAAGGCAGCAGATCTTAGTTTGTCATTTGTGCCACTTGAGGGAAGTGGAATTTGTTGGCCCTTGTTGCATAACTCATGAGCCTTCCCTGCGAGGTCTGACTCCTTTAGAGACACTGCCCAGCTAGCGGCTAATCTTGGACAGCGCTGTTTGCCTGCCAACCACCTCGTTTAGGACAGGGATGTACTTCTAGACTGAGCTCAAAATACTTGGTTTTCTGAAGAAACAAATTTTAAAAATGCAAGTAACTAACGTAGTTCTTTTTTGTTTCTGAAGGTTGTGATTCTAGATGTCAGAGTTCCTTGTACTCCTGTTGCCAGGTTAAACAACCACAGAGCATGTGTCAATGGAATTGCTTGGGCACCTCATTCTTCCTGCCACATTTGTACAGCAGGTCAGTGTGATCCATCCCCGTCCAGCTGCGTTGGTGAATCTCAGAGTCCCTCACTGCATTTGCAGATCCACTTTTTCCAAAAGTTTATGCAATTCTCTGCCTGCTTTTTGGTAAAGAATCCCTGCACTTTAGAAGCCCTAGACATTCTTAAAATTTTTATGGAAATAGACACCTACTGAAACTTAGTGTGTGGAAGTAGAGACCCCAGTGCCCAGACTGTGCATCTGCTTTGGCTAAGCTATATTATTTTAATGCTCCTTATTTCTTCATAATCAAGTTCTTAAATGTTTTTGGGAGGTATGAGTTCCACTGATACTTGTTTTTCAGCTCCCTCCTGGATAATGTATGATTATCCAAGCTTACTCTTTTTAGAGCGTAGTTGTATAATTGAGTCTCTCACTTGAGCACTCGCGGGGACTGCAACAACCATGTCCTTTATAGCTTCTTGGAACTCTACGCTGTTGATAGTCACCTTGTTATACTTCTGTTCCACTTGTGATTTTTCTCCTCTGTTTGCAGCGGATGACCATCAGGCTCTCATCTGGGATATCCAGCAAATGCCCCGTGCCATTGAGGACCCTATCTTGGCCTATACAGCGGAGGGAGAAATCAACAATGTACAGTGGGCATCCACTCAGCCAGACTGGATAGCTATCTGCTACAACAACTGCCTGGAGATTTTGAGAGTGTAACATGACTGCTTCATGCTGCATTGAGGCAGGGCTGTATAATTTCCCTTCCCCTCTAAAGTAAGAACAACACCAGTCAAGTGGCCAGTATCTGTTGTTGCTTTGCATCTACTGTTACAAGAAACCGTTACAAGAATCAATGGCAGGTGTCTCCTGTCTCTCCAAGACTCTAAAATGCAGAGACGTGCTGAGCCTCTTGGACCTTCTGGGTTCTGTTTTTTTGGTTTTATTTTTTTGCCCTCATTTAAAGTTCTGTATATTTGTTTGTTGACTGTATTAATAAGCTCGCAGGCTTTTAAGTTGCTGCATATGTTCATGTGTTTGTCAGCCAGCTGAGGCAGCACATCCAACTCGTTTAACAGATGCAAGTGCAAAACAAGGTGGGGAAAAAGACATTGATGTTAACAGCCACCTTGGCAGGAATCTTTATCATTCCTGTTGTTGCTGCCTCTTAACTGTTTAAACATTTGTATGGTTTTTATATATTGGGCTAACTTTCTATTGAGTAAGATTTTTCTCCCTAATTCTTACTTTTGATATGTGATCCACTTCCACACGCCCAAAGCAGGATCTGTTTGTTGATACAAATCACGGTAACGCTGCAGGCTCCCTGGCAGTAAAGGCCTGCCAGAATTAACTGTTGCCTTGGCTCTCTCGGCAGAATTTTCTGGTGCTGTGAAGTACAAGTACTTGTTGCACAATTTCTTTACACTTTCCTGATGCTAGAGGCAGTTGGTAGGCCTTATTTTTAAATTATAACTGTATTTGTGTGTATCCTGCAGTTGTGCTAGCTAACAGAATGGTTATTGGTTTCAGAAAGAAGATATGTGCATGACTTAAGCTCCCAGGAGATAAATGAGTCCTGAAAAAATGTGATTTGTAATGGACTTGGGATTGACGCTTCCAATCAAATGGTTTCCCCTCGGAAGACTTCCTATCTAAACCAAAATAAAATGGTTTCACACATTGTAGCTTGCTTGATTGGCAACTAATATGAGCAAAATTTTTGTGGTTAGCCCTTACCTTGGAGCTTCTTTGTGTTTGGCCTTTGTGTTCCTGGAAGTTGTCGAAAGGAGCGCAAAGCAATCTTTCTTTCTGAAATACGTTTGCTTTGTACTGTCAGATCTTGTTGAGTGAGCGAGGCGAGTTGCAAAAGCTGGTCTGCTAGCCAAATGAAGGCTCTTCCTCTGAAAGAAATTATTCCCACGTGTGATGCACAACAATGGGTTTAAAAAGAAAGAAACCATGCCGTGGAGGCTACGGTTTGGCACCTATCACCCTCTTTTGGGAATGTGCCCAGGGGCTTCTGTAGTGTAGTGTAATACTTTTCAATCAGAGCTGAGTGGATTAGGGAAGATAAAAATCTTTGTTGATAACAGCTACTCGGCTGAATGCTCCGCAGTAACTCTCCCAGTGAAGACATGACAACCGTAGCTGGGCGGTAAGGGTGTACCAGCTGAGTTTTGATTAGGTGTCAGAAACCATCAGAATTGTCTTTGCACCTAATGAGTATTCACCTGCAACTGGAGGCAGCATTATAAATAGTAGGACACTGGCAAACTTGAATCTTGTCATTTTATGCAGGAAAGGCAAGCTGGGAAAAGCGATTACTGTGAAAAAGTGAAGCTGATGCTGAAAGCGCTGTCAAGTACAGAACAGAATCTGAAAAGTTGTGTCATTCTGGACATACAGAAATACTCTTCGACAGACTGCTTCTCAACACAGAGCTCAGAAAAGCACTGCCTTGTGAATTTGATAGGAATTCATTAGGGACAGCTTTATTCCATCACTCCTTTTAATGCTGGGGAACCAAGAAACTCTAACACAGTTCAAGCTCATGTTTTGTCAATGACGTTCTCTGCTCGGTTGTGGATGTTTGGTTTGACTTGAAGGTCAGTTTTTTCTTACTAGCGGCAGTGCTGAGAGCAGCGTGTTCCACAGGTGGATTTAGGTGTCAGACCAGTGTTAACCCAACAGTGAGGTTACCACTTCTTACAATGGCGCTTCATTTTAAACTGGAAGATACTTAAACAGAATGAAGTGAGAATGAGGGTTTTCGTAGTGGAGGCGTGTAACGGCATTCACAGCTTTAGAGACTCATAAAAATACGTGCACAGGCTTGTCGTGTACTGTTTAGTTACAAACGGTAGGCAGAATATGCTGTGTGACCAAGAGAGGTACCTGTACTGTTAGTACTTTCTGCAGCCCCCTTTATGCTTCGAAGTCTCATTCTTGTATAGATGGAGTGAGTAAAAGATGAATGCATCTGCTTTAAAAAAGGCAGAAGGTAATTCAGTTGAAAGTGAAGCCCCTAAAAGACTCCATAGGCTGTACTAGATGGCAAAGGCAGTTTGTTCCTAGAGGAACAAAATCTGTTACGCTGAGATGATGAGAAGAGAGAATGTATAAAGGGGCTAAAGTCTGAATCGCCACACAGCTTCTGCTGTTGGAAAACAGTCCTGTTATGAGCCTGAAAAGGATCAGGTGTCTGTCCTTTGATCCATAAAACTGCCTAAAGTTCACTTGTGGAATTGGGTGCTCATTCCAAACTTGGCAGAGACAAGCGGAGGACTCTTGTAGGCTCCAGTGGATTCTGCATGAAGTCTGTATCGTGTTTGTTTAACCAGTTGGGGTACCTTCTGGATCTACAGCATACCGCTTTGGGCGTAATCCGTTGTCATTCTTCATGTGAAATCTCATTTTAAATCACTCGAGGCTGTTCTGGAACAGGGAAATGCTGCTTAAAATAGCTTCTTTTCAAAGGAGTCACTTTAAAGGTTAATGACTGAAAAGACATAAGAATCCTCATGGGTGAGATGTTCTGTAGTGCAAATGGCACTTCCAGACAGAGAAGGAAGTGAGAGACTTTGGTGCCCTTTTGCCAGCACCTGCTGACACAGTGGCAGGGAGCTAACGGTCTGCTTGCTGGTTCAAGTTTATGTGCAAGATAAAATAAAACCCTGAGACTTGTCACTGTAGCCTGTGAATCAGAAGATGGTTTATTGTATTTCACCTGCTTAACATTCAGTTATGTTGGGTGTAAAGCCTCCGTAAGTTTGGGTGGGTTTTTTTCCCCCAAATTTTATGAAAACAAATATTTGGATATTTGATTTCAGGTTTTTTGTGCTTACTGCACAAGTAGAGGATGCAGAGCAACTGCTTTCAGATGCCTCGTGTCCCTTGAGTGTAAAGTCCTATAAAGGGAAAAGTGAGCATCAGTGAGGTTAGCAAAGCAGAAAATCCTGTGCTCTTGTTGATACAGGCAAAACTCATTCAGGGACAGAAATTTTTATTCTCTGGAAGTAGTTCTCTGTTGCTTCTCCATTTAATTTAAGGTACTAAGCTATTGTTTCGTTATTATGTTCAGTTTCAACCAAGCTTTCCACAGATTCCTGCTAATATGTGGACAACCTGTTGCTACTATATTGGCTCTCAGCCAGGAGATCTCAATCATGTAGAACTCGTTTGTGAGCTGAAAACCTACAGAAAACAAGTTGGACATTGAATTAACGTGTAGAATGCCAGCTGTGTTAATTGTCTATGTAAAATGGGCTGTGGTCGGTCGCATCTGTGGGAATTGTATTTCTGTGTGCAGGGATTTAAAAGGCAAGGATTTGAGTGCTTTGACAATCTATTTAGAAAGAAAAACCCAGTGATTTCAAAGAACGATACGAAAGGAGACTGATAATGCAGGTTGTTCCTTATGGAACCTTGAAATGTACTTAACGGGGGAGGCATTGCCTCTCATAAGTCAAAGTTAATGATCCTTTCAAAACTTAGCTGTAATTACTCTTGAATGTTCTGGATAACAGTAAAAAGATCTATTTTTGCCTGGTGTTGCAGTGGGAAAGCTGCGTCAGTCTCAACTGTAGATCACTGCCTGCCAGAGACTTAGGTGAGGAGTTTGGTCTGTTGGAATTCACAGATGCTCTTGTGCTTGTTTTAAATGTACATGAAGAAAGTTGAGTGTGTCTGTTTTGTTCTCTTGCAGATGGCACTTTAACAAGTATATTTTTGGTAAGATTAGGAGGAGAGTCATCTTTTCCTCAGCCCCTTTATGGTAGGTGTTTGTGTTTTGTATAAAATGTTAAATACAGCAGTCACCGAAACCCTAAACTGGCTGCGGTTGTCGGTATCTACTAGACCCACATCCGTGTCTACTCAACACCAAAAACGTGAGCACTTGCCAGTACTGTTAATGTTAAACTGAAGCTCCGTATCCTGAGACTGATGCAATCTTGCAAGGCCAACCCCACCCCAGTAATGTCGTGGAGCTTGGCACCCAGAGAGTCCCTTTTGCTTCGGCACCAGGCGGGTTTGGGGAATCCTCTCGTACCATCTGAACATGACGGCAGGAGGGCCAAGCTGGTTGTGTGAAGACGTAGCTGGATTCTTTGAATAACGTGCTTTTTGTGATAGAAAACATGCAGCTGCTGTCTGGAAATTCACACAACCTAAAAATTCTTTAACTTGTCAGTTCCTTGTGGTAGTCGTGTTCTAACTCTCGAGACATACTGAAAAGGATGAATGGCAGCAAGGGTAAGCTCTTGGCTCGACACATTGCACGGTTTCATCAAGTACTGACGGGTTTAGTGGTCCCACCACCTCAAATCCTGTGTGCCCCCAACAGTTAACACAGGTTCTCTCTGAAAACTATTTTCTGCTTTCACTTGTCAGACCAATGTTGCAGAGCGGGCTTGTGGTTATTGTGCAGTGGGCATTAAAAGGAGGTGCCCAAAATCGGTTCTGGAATGGGCAGGGTACTGCCAGCTATGTCCCTGTTTCTCCTGACCTTTGCAGGGAATTCATTGTGCGTGGCACTTTCTCATGCTTCCTTAGAGATGCAGCTGTGTTTCCCCCTTCTTACCCAAGACGAGTCAGAAATGTCTCATCCTCAAGGATATTGAGTTTAACAAGCCCCTGACTCTTTTTTTACTTAGAAAGGGATCTTCAAAACTTCTGATCAGCACCTTTCACTAGCACTAGAAACCAGTAGTTAAAACGGCAACTGAGTGCCAGTCACTGAATGCTCTTGTAGTGATTCATGGCAGGCTCTGGAGGCAAAGGCACTTGTGAGACTCGCTTGCTGCTGCCTGATTTCGGATGATAACTTTGTCTGCCAGGTATCTCAGTGGCCTTTTTGCAGCCTTTGATACTCGGCATCAAACTAGAATTTCCATAACCATAAAAATGAAAAATCATCCATGTGGCTTCCATCAAGTTTATTTCTTTTCAGAAAACCTAACAAAACAAAGAAATAAGCTATTTTCTGAAAACATACTGTGGCTGTGAGTAGCTGTAAGCCCATGCTCCAGCTCTCATCCCTTGGAGTTTGCTTTCCTGTTTGCAAGATGAACAATTCTCAAGCCTCTGCTCTATTTTAGAGATGAAGATCAGTCTGTTGAATCTGAGCAAAGGCAGAAACACAAGCACCAGTGAGTAAAAAAAAGTCCTGGTACAGCTGAGAAGATATGTGTTGCTTTTTTTGACAAGCTGGTAAATACGAATTATGAAATTTTTATTTAAAAGGAACCTTTTATTTTTATTTTTTTTTAAAAAAAAAACAAACTTGGGTTACTAGCAGTGTAAAATGTAATTTAAATCTGTTGCGCCGAAGCATTTTTGTTACCGATAGACAAGTAGATGATGTTTACTTTTCTGTGTGTTTTCCCTTCTGCTCTTCCCATTCACAGTCCCGTTGTGGTAATTTCCTGAAGGTGTAATCTTTGTAGCATGATTGTACAAACTTCCATACGCGATACCCGACTTTCTTGTTCTCACTAAAATATGTTAAAGCAATAGTAGCTTTACTTCTGTCCTCCTTTTCTCCACCTTCTGTTTTGACATTTGCAACTTCGCTACTATACCGTCCTAGAGGAATCCTTGTATCCTGCTGTTCAACAGACGTATGTTGTTGACATGGATAACTGCAGTGTCCCTATATTCCTTTATTTTTATGGAGAAAATACAAAGGGTTTTGTTACAATGGATTTTAACACCTGAGTCATGGAA